TCGTGGGTGAAGAGGGAGTAGAGGAAAGGGCTCATCACACAGCCTTGTGGTACACCGGTGTTCATTGTGATGGTAGATGAGCAGCGGTTATCCAGCCGGACATGTTGGGGGCGGTTGGTCAGGAAGTCCAGTAACCATTTGCAGATGAGGGAACTGATGCCCAGGTCTGTCAGTTTCCTGATGAGTTGTGAGGGGTGGATTGTATTGAATGCTGAACTGAAGTCTATAAACAGCATTCTGGCGTAGGTGTTGTTGTTGTCCAGGTGTGAGAGGACAGAGTGCAGTGCGATGGAGACTGCATCCTCTGTGCTCCTGTTCTGGCGGTATGCAAATTGGTGGGGGTCCAGGGTGGGGGGGAGACAGGATTTGAAGTGTGCTAGGACCAGCTGCTCTAAGCACTTAGCTATTTACAGTTCATAACAAGAGACAAGGCACCATTTCTCTCCTTTGTGTTCCAGTCATCACAGCAGATTAAACTTTTAAAATATTTGCAAATAGTATAAAGAAATATATAAAGAAGTAAAACACTAATTTATTAATACTTAGAAATACTAAAATGTACATTTGTCAGCAACTGCTGCCATCTGAACCGAAACGTTACAAACCAGCTTACCCACAATCTGTGTATTTTTCTATGCTGGCTACTTAAATTGGCATCCAACAAGCTATTTGCTTTAATCTTTTATTAGACAAAGGCTGACTGGTTAGTTCAAGCTTCAACTGCATCCAAAGGACTGAAAATGTTTTAACACAGTGACTGAACTTGATTGAAGTCTCCGTAGTTTGTTGAATCTGTTTCGAGTGACTTATTTTCACAATTCCAGGAATTTTTAAAAGGCACCAAAAAGCATTACAACGCTGAGCTCGAGTCTGTGGACTTCAAAGGAAATGCAGAGGAGGCCAGGGTCCACATCAACAGCTGGGTGGAGAAGCAGACACAAGGTAAGCATAATGTAACTTTAAATGATCTCCACTGTAAATCCTTGGGGATCAGTTGTGTTGTGTTCAGTTGAGACATTATTACCGGATTGTCCACCGTCCACATTATTTTCTGTTTCCAGTTCTTCCAGTCTAATTTCTATTCAGTATTAAGCAGCACTATCTCTGGGTTTTACTGTTTGGTTTCATGCTATTAATAAAACCATCACAGCAGTATGTTGCTGTAAATAGCAGGCCAATTCTTCTATTCTTATTATATTATGTGATGGGTACTTCTACTTTGATCACTTGTGTCTTTAACATATTTTTATTTTTCAGGCCCATTTAGGATTGGCTGCTATTGATTCTATATCTTTATATTATCTTAAGTGCAGCAGGAAATTCATTCATTGTTTTTATAAAAGCACGATACAAATACAGGCCATTTATAAATCTACCATCTATAATAATAGGATACAAGGACTTTCTATGAGGGTTATAGGACTGTGGTGCCACCTGCTGGAAATGAGACAATCTTAATCCCATTATTTTTGTAGGAGCCATTTTTGGGTTGATACCTCATGTTGCCGCTAGAGGTAACCTTTTTAAGTTTTTTCTTTTTTTTTTAAACTTTATTTAACAAACAATGAGTATACAACATACGAACAGATGAAGTATACAAAACAACAGAACATGAACACAAAAAGCCAAGAGTAAAAGAAAAAGGTAACAATTATAAGAATACACATACATGTATTGTTTTGAGAGCCTTTGTGTTGGTGGAGTCTGATATTGATTGTATGTACATTTCCACATCCTTAAAATAATGACAGAAATATGGTGTTTTGTTAGTAAACTTACATTTATGGATAAAAAATGTAGCTAAAAGTATGAACAAATTCATCATAAAAAACATTTCTCATACTTCTTGGGGAACTTAAACAAACAGAATAAAACATTTTCCCATCGTAAAGAAAACTCCCTTAAAATATGGACAATAACAAACCTGCTAAATTCCTTCCAGAATCTCTGTGTAAAAGAACAGTACCAAAAAAGATGTGTCACAGTTTCTGGATGATCCCCACAGAAAGTACAATTAGTATTTATGTCCCTTTTACATTTGACCATGTAGTGACTGGCTGGATAACATTTATGTAGAATTTTAAATGAGACTTCTTTCACCTTATTTACAATCAAATATTTATGGGGGACCATCCAGACTGTCTTCCACTTGATATCTGGAACATATCGGTTCCAATAAGATGTTATATATGGGAGAGAGACGATATCTTCTTGGAATAAACTACGTATTCTCTTATTGCTGTTACCAAGTTCCTGTGAAAAGCAGATTTTTCCTATTGGTGACTCAGCTGGATCAGGGAGAGTGACTGAGGCAGATATTGAGCTGTCAGTGTTTTTATATAACATTAAAGTCCCTGAGGGTGTGGCACCAAGCACCACTGAGGATTCCACCTTTTTAAGTTTCTGTATGGTAGGTTTATGTAAGGTATTTAAGGTGGACGCACGTAATCAGCGTCAGGTGTGTTGTTAATCATAAGAAGGCAAAACATTTGTGACCGCTGCGCTTTTATCTTAAAATGTTTGGAACAAAGACCAAAAAGGACAAGATAAGTACTGCTGGAGTTATTGGACTGTTTAATTAATTCATGCATACCAGAAGCATCGCGTCACCCCCGCTAACAACCACCTCAGTGGCTTCAAGCCTACGCTTGAATTTTTGTTTTTTGTTCCCTGTTATACTGATCATAAAGCTTTTTCCCCTTTTTTTAAAATAAAAACCATCTTGCTGTTGCCCTGTTTTCTGATTTTATAGCTGAAGATGTTGTACAGTAACTAGTGCATCTTTGGTAATAGTTAATAGTTTTCATAAATTCTTTTTACCAGATAAAATCAAGGACTTGCTAAGCCAGGATGCAGTGGGTAGCCTGACGAAGCTGGTTCTCGTGAATGCCATTTACTTCAAGGGCAGCTGGAACACGCAGTTTAAGGAGGAGAAGACTGCTGATGTGCAGTTTCGACTGAACAAGGTAACAGTGCAGAAAGGCAGCATAGGATGGTGCAGTTATACTTTGATCTGTCATACTACAAACGAGCTGTGGACTTTGCTGAATGAGAACATAAAGCCTGGAGCTCTGAGGGGATAAAATCGTGCTTTTAGGACGATCACTTTCCAACTTTATGCAGTTATGCAATGCAGTTTATTATTCATGTAATATCCAATAAGTTCTCAAATAAATCTCAAACAACAGCACATCACAAACTTCGGCTAACAAGAACAAGTTGTGTTGTGACGTGTGCTCTACATCCAAATCCACTCAATGGCTGGAATAAAACCATGACAGAACTTTTTGAGATCATTTTGAGACTAAACACAAAAAACATTTCTCTTGTCTCGCCTATTTTTCAGAACGACACTAAGCCGGTGAAGATGATGCAGCAGAAAAGTAAATTTCCTTTTGCGACCATTCCTGAGGCCAACTGCAAGGTAACATCCATCACTTTCAGCTTATTACAGGATTTCACCAGCATGATCTAAAACTTGTCTTTTACAAATATCAGCCTAAATTTCTAGATTAGGAAGTCAGATCATCTTTGATGGAGTAATAAATAAAAACAATGTTTCTGGACAGATTCTTGAGATGCCGTATAAAGGAAATGACCTCAGCATGCTCATATTCCTGCCTAATGACATAGAAGATGATACCACAGGCTTGGAAAAGGTAAGATGCACTTACCAGTACTTTAATGTCCAGTTTCAATCAGACAAGCTAGTGACACTGTATCCACACAGCTGGAGAAGGAGCTGACCTATCAGAACTTTGTGGACTGGACTCGCCCAGACATGATGAGCCCCAACGAGGTTGATGTCAAGCTCCCTCGATTTAAGATGGAGGAGAAGTATGACTTGGAGAAAATCCTGACCAACATGGGAATGGAGAACGCTTTTGACATCTACAAGAGAGACTTCTCTGGTGAGAAATATTGCACCAATGAGACACACTGAATCAATTATACAGTTATATTGAGAGCACAAAAACTGCAAAACATCATCTGGTAAAGAATAAAACACAACTGATTTCTGGGCTCTTCATCTACTAGGAATGTCTCCAGCAAATGACCTGATAGTGTCCAAAGTTGTCCACAAGGCTTTCGTGGATGTAAATGAAGAAGGAACTGAGGCTGCTGCTGCCACTGGGGTTGACATGGAAGTCCGCTCTATAACGATTCCCGCTGAGTTTGTTGCCGACCATCCCTTCATCTTCTTCATCCGACATAAACCCACCAAGAGCATTCTCTTTGTGGGCCGGTACTGCTCACCCGAGTAAACACGAGCTGACATTGACATGAATTAAACATAAAACATTATATACAGTATAAGATTTTGTAAGGTAAACCTAGTTCATACAAATGAAGTAAAGAAAAGTTATTAAAACAAAACGTGCCTTGCTGTTTATTCTTTCAGTGTCCCACAGTAGCACATTTCCTGCTAGGAAAATGTCAGAAGTCACATCATTTCTGTAAATTGGGAAGTAACTGTAATACATCAAGTCACCTCTGTCTCTTGTTACCAGGACTTTTTAAAATGAATGGTACAACATGGAAAGAGGCCCTACACAAGAGTTTAGCTTTGAGCTCAATATGCGATGATCCTTTCAGCCATGACATCTCTGACATGGGAAACCAGGGAATTTGATTAGAAAATGGTGAAGGATTTTCTTTTCAGTTAGAAACTGGATTTGTGTAACATGGTGGTGAAAAGCCCCCAAAGAAAGCAGCATATGATCAGTCGCTATATTGCATTTAATACAAACGTCCTTCGTGTATCCTTTGAATACAGAACAGATCATTTCTGATATCTATGAGTAAACCCAACGAGCACGTGTCCCAAAAGACCCCACAGTGTTTTTATCTGGCTTTTCCCTGACAGTTAGTAGACACTGACAGATGTGTGCTGAATATGAAAGGAAACAAAAGAACTAAAGAAGGTTTGCAGTGTTAAAAACAAGAACTACATGAAGGTTGTTTCATCCTGCTGTAACTTATGACAGAAGCATCTTTTGTTTGTTTTTTCATTTATTTACACAAAGACAGATGTTGAAATAACAGGAGTAACAGTTTAATTCAATTGAAATCGGTCCAATCGTCTATAATGAAATTATTGTTGGACATACATAGTTTTCTTTGGTCGACCAGGCTGGATGCTCTTTGGCATGATTCTGTCTTTCTGTTTCAGCCTGCTTGAAATATCTGGCTTCTGGTCGTTTGAAAGCGACTTCCACTGTGGACAGAAGATCATAAGAACACACTGTGAGCACTGCTACTACACATAACTACAGGACAGCTGGGACACATGCAAAAACATGAGCAGACAACATTAACAGATGCATAAATGTATGCAGAGTTACACACTTACTCTCTGTCCCACCACTGCATTTACGGCTGCACTTCCAGGGATGTTGAGTTCAGCAATGACCTTTGGCCTCTGCTCTTTGAGATAGAGCATGAAGGCATTTGGTGGCTTCTTGACGTATGGCCCATCTTCATCCTGCTGGGCTGGGCACTTTCTTTTTCTTCAGGAATAAAACACAGAGTAAGAGCACATGTTAGCACTGTGTACAACTGTGAGGGAAGCAGTTCAAAAACACGAGACAAGCTGTAAAACTGAATGAAATCAGGCACCATTAATGGATCATTACAATAATTCCTGCAGACATCTGCAAACAAATGACAGATACTTGCAGATCAGTGAACCAAAGCAGCAGAGCAAACTTACTTTGGAGTGGAGGTGTTAGGTGGAGGAGCAGGAGTGACATACTCATACATCTGTACACCGTTCCTACACAGATGAAGGGAGACAGATATGAGATAACAGGAAGAAGTTATGAATATAGAGATGTTCAGCAGCTGTGTTCACTCCAGTGTTTGTGTGTTTTACGTACAGTACTCCAACAGGACGCAGGTTCTGGAGCACACAAAACACACAACAGGTGACGAGACAAGCTGCAATACTATCATCTATCCACTAGGTGGAAGAATTGATCAGTAGAAAGAGGAGATGTGCTCAAAACGACATTCATACATAGATTTATTCTTCTTAGTTAGTCTTAAGAATTAGGATTCACTGACAGTGAAGAAGTTTCAGACGTGCACTCGCGTTTCCCCTTTTGCCTTTTCCTGCTCCAGCCAAGTCCTCCGCCTGCTCGACATCTCTCCTATTACCTTTTATTACGCTTGCACTCATGCCTTTGCCTTTCACCACTTCAAAACTGCGCCTTCTTCAATATTACCTTCATATGCTCTCTTTGCTTTTCGCCTTCCTCACTACACTAAGTACCATTTTTTAACGCTGTGTACTCACTCTTGCTAAGTACATGTGAACAGATCTTGAAGAAAAAAAAACAAAACAAAACATACTTTTCTTTTCTCTTCTGATACTATTGAATGATCCTAACAGAAAAAAACAGAGTTAACACTGACTTAATAAAAAAGTGTTATATTTTATCTCAGATAAACTAGTCAGTGTTTATTAGTGTTTGCTCAACTAGAAGTCTTCATAGTAGCATCCACACATCAAGTCTTTAAACAAATAATGAAAGGATAATGAAAGAAAGTTTAATGTGAAATTACTGAATTATATGAAATGCCAGAGTGTTTTTCTTTAAACTACTTGCCTTTTAGTGATGTCACTAACCTTGTCACTAAAAGGCAAGGTTCTAATGTTGTGTTGCCATAGACTCCGGAGTTTACTTTTAAAGCTCACTTACAGAACTGACTTATACAGCTTAGTTAGAAAAGTCAAGCATCCAGACATTTGAAGGACTATTCACTCATTAAGGTGACATTTTCTATTTTAAAAATTAAGATGAAAAAGGAAACAAGAAAAGTTACGACTGAGGCAGATAAGAAAGATCCAGGAGATCAAAGTAAGTAAAAAATAAAATCCCCTAAATAACAGAATGTACATTTCTAACAATGTTGAGGCTCTGTGTATAAAATGATTCATTTTTAGAGGATTTAAATCCTGGTTTTGATTGAAACTAACCTGAGTGCAACATGTCTAATCAAAGAAAGGTTACTGGGGCACTTTGTCTTTTGGTAAAATAATGTGACAAGTTTATTCTTGGACTGAGCAGTGAAAACAGAGCAACAAGTGTCATCAGTATCTAGACTTAGTAGACCTAGTATGGACTCGTGTTGGTGTGTTTTTTATCAAAAGGATAAACTTGTTATTATATTGTAAGCAATACTAATTTAAAATTCAATGACATCAAAATCCTTCTAGTCCTGATGTCGAGCGCTCTTTTTCACTAATGTGTTGTTGTTGTTTATAGATTGTAAGAGCAGGATGGCTAAAAGAAAGGCCAGTCCTGAAAAAACGACCCCCATAAAAAGGAGGGTCACTGAGCAGGCTGGTCCTTCCACCAGCTCAGATGCTCATGTGGTCGGGGGAGTCAAGCGAAAGGTCCAACAAGATGAAGCGGGGACAACCAATACAGCAAAAAAGCGTAAACTTCTTGAGCATGTGAGCGGTGACAAGGGGCAGGCATCTTCCTGGTTGGACACTGGTAAAGGTAGGCTAATTAGTTGAGTGAGGGATAGATTAAGTGTACATCTGGTTGCTAGTTTGAAGATATTAGTGTTTGGGAGATATTTGTGTCTATTATCTAATAAGCTGACGTGCTTTTGGTGTTTTCCACATCTGCAGACTGCAGCATAGAGATTTCAGAGAGCTGCAGTAAAAACAAAAAGGCTGGCAAAAGGAAAGCTGCGGGAGACACCAGGGACCCACCTAAGAAAAAGAACGTGGACCAGGACAAAACCAAAACCATTGCCAAAAAGTCAGTGGCTGAACAGAAACGTAAGTAGCAAGCAGCTTAGCTTTTATATTCAGGTGAAGAGCAAAATGAACATTTAGGGTACAGCAGAGAGTAATTTGTGTGACAGCTGTAGTAAAACCCAATTTGTGTTTGTCTGTTTAGGTGACTTCCAAGCGAGATACGTGGAGGAGCACCGGCTTGGAGAAGGAGGCTGTGGAGCAGTGTTTTCTGGCTACCGCATAAAGGATCATTTACCAGTAAGTGTTCAGATGGTGGTAGTAAGACAGGCAGTAATGCAGATAAGGGATAATATCGTAAGCTGAGATGTATGCTGTTTTACACCTTTAATGATGTCATACTGAGGAAATGCTCATCAATGCCCTGTGTCTTTTAGGTGGCCATCAAACACATCCCAAAGGGGAAAGTGTACTGCAAAGTGAAGGTAAATGTGCAAGACTTGAATTGTTTTTACATTAGTGGATTGCATGCAGCGTTCACCTGTGGAACGTCTGTGCCTCATCATCCACTTTGTTGAAATATTTCAGGATGATAACGGGAAGAATGTGTCAGTGGAAGTTGCCATCATGCTGAAGCTTGCAGCTGAAGCAGATGGATCAGTGGAAACATCAGCCCCAGTGTCTCTGTTGGAGTGGTTTGACTTTGGCAGAGAGCTGATCCTGGTGATGGAGAGACCTGTCCCCGCTGTGGACCTGGATAAATACATAGAAGAAAATGGAGGATTTTTGCCAGAGGACAAGGCCAAGGCAAGTTGACTTGCCTTAGAAGAGTCTTAGACTGTACATCATTCAATCAAAGCACAGAGTATTAGAGAAACATTAACCCATTGATTGATTATTGTCTTTTTCATCGTTTCCAGGTAGGGCTGGGCTATATCATACCATTCACGGTAATACCGGTGTAATTTTGGGCAACGATAGGAAAATGAAATATCGCGCTAGAATAGGCACTGCGCATGCGCGTTTTACCTATGTTTACATACGCAGATGGCGGTGACGCAGAAAGAGAAGAGCAAAAGTGGATCGTTGAATGAAACGGATGAACCAGAACTGGTTTGTAAAAATGCTGCAACTTTAGTGGTGTGGAACTGGTTTAGCTTTCGTCCGTCAGATACACAACAAAGCACGATTTTTGGTAGCGCATGCTAGCGGGCCGTCGTTATTACCGTGTTCTTTGGAAAATACGGCACACTTAAAATCAATCCTTTGATTTTTCTGAAACTCGACAGTGCCCCTTATAATCCCGTGTGCCTTATGTATGAATTCTGGTTGTGTTTACTGACCTCAAAACGATTTTATGTACACGGCGACTTTGCTAAGCTACAAAGCCGCACCGCTCGATGGATTGTCGGAGCATTACGGCTATCGTAGGCAGGCGCCTCGCGGAGTGATACGTACTGCACCTCAACGTGATATTACCGTATTGTGTGTGTATAACCTCTTTTTAAGCTTTGTGGATATTTTACATGGTTATGCTGAGGATATGTCGGCCAATTTCCACTGGAAATGCCTTTTGGTTAAACTGTCAGCGAGGAATTTGCATTTGCACTGTTACATTTTTATATAACTTTAATGCACATAAAAAAACAGCTGCTTGTTTAAGTGAAAATACATTTATGGGGTTTTTTGCACTAATAAAGTTGTGGAGTATTTTGTCTAGTGTCAGTTATATCGTCAGTTATATCGTCAGTTATATCGTTATCACAACTTTTCAAATGTATATCGTGATAAATATTTTTGGTCATATCGCCCTGCTCTATTTCCAGGTCATTCTGAAGCAGCTGGTTGATGCTGCGAAGCACCTGGAGGATAAACACATCTTTCACCGGGACATCAAGAGTGAGAACATTTTAATTGAGACCGGCTCAGATGTACCGCGTGTTCGTATCATCGACTTTGGACTGAGCTGCTTTGTTAAGGAGCAGTCGCAGTACCGCGTCTTCTATGGTAACATATTCTGCTCTTGCTCTTCACAGATGTCACAATTTTCGCCTTTTGTTTTAGAAGAAATTGCAATTGTGTCTGTTTATTAGGTACAGAAATTTACTCCCCTCCCGAGTGGTACGGGCGCAGTTGCTACAGGTGTGGACCCACCACGGTATGGCAAATGGGAGTGGTTCTGTACGAAGCGCTTCATGCCGGGGACTTTAACACCACGAGCTTCCTCAAAAAGCGCCTGAAATTCAAAAGACATCTGTCCAAAAGTAAGAAAACGTCACACTTCAAGACTGACTGATGGCTTGGACCACTGGAACTATCATCTTCATGTTTTTTCTCTTTCCTTTCTTTCCAGACTGCCGGGATTTCTTGGACGCGTGTTTAACCAAAGTCCCGGAGACGCGGCCGACACTGGAGGAGCTACAGCATCACACTTGGCTGAGATAAGCCTATCACACACACACACAAACACACACAATTCAGACGTTATCATTTATGTGTGATGTATGAATTACCTTTCTTTTTTTCAGGAAATAATTTTTTTTAATTGGCCCACTTTAAATTTCAGTGTTTTGGAATTCCTGTAACCCCCCCCAGCCATCCCAGGAAAGGGGATCTCTCTTTGAATGGGCTTTCCCGAGGTTTCTTCCCGTCAGTCTGGCCCCCCAGGGGAGTTTTTCCTCGTCTTCATAGAGAGCTTGGGCTGGCTCAGGAGCTCCATCAAAACTGTCTTTATTTAATTACTCTAATGTAATCATATACTTTAAAGTAATCAAATAAAAGACAGTAAAAATCTGAAGACTTGAAGTAAACTTCCATTAAAATAAAACTTGTTTAATTCATCTTTGCTGAGGATACTGTGTTATTACTATTTCAAGGATTATGTCAGAACACCGGATACTGGTACCCATCCCTACCCATCACTAGGGAACAGAACAAACCAGACATCAATTACAACAAAAATGACACTGACCCAGCCAGCATGACTCGTCTGCCTTAAGAAATGTTTAGCAATATTACAAATTGGGTGATATGCCTTAAAGTAGCTTCTCATGTGTTCAGCATTGTCAAAGGCTACATTTTAATTAAAACCACAATCTAGTAATGTTCTGTCTTTAACCTTCCTAATTTGTTTTTTGTCCTAACCTAATACTAAATTGCCAGTGAAAACAAAAGTTACATAAATAAAGAAGAGTAAAGAAAATTAAAGTCTTTTTTATTGTAACAGTTTACCAGTGTACAGTTTGGTTTGTGACATATCTATCTAATAGACTCCAATTTGTGCATGTAAATGGAGAGTCCTCTTCACACACTGAGGTTAATTATGGAGTTCCACAGGGTTCAGTGCTAGGACCAATTCTGTTTACATTATACATGTTTCCCCTAGGCAGCATCATTAGAAGACATAGCATAAATTTTCACTGCTATGCAGATGACACCCAGCTCTATCTGTCCATGAAGCCAGATAACACACACCAATGAGTTACACTGCAGGAATGTCTTAAAGACGTAAAGACCTGGATGGCCGCTAACTTTCTGCTTCTTAATTCAGATCAAACTGAGGTTATTGTACTCGGCCCTGAAAAGTTTAGAAATATGGTATCTAACCAGATTCTTACTCTGGATGGCATTACCTTGGCCTCCAGTAACGCTGTGAGGAACCTTGGAGTCATTTTTGACCAGGACATGTCCTTCAACGCACATATTAAACAAATATGTAAGACTGCGTTCTTCCATTTGCGCAACATCTCTAAAATTAGAAATATCCTGTCTCAGAGTGACGCTGAAAAACTAGTTCATGCATTTATTGTGTGAATGTGTGTGTGAATGGGTGGATGACTGGATATGTAAAGCGCTTTGGGGTCCTTAGGGACTAGTAAAGCGCTATATAAATACAGGGCATTTACCATTTATTACTTCCAGGCTGGACGACTGTAATTCATTATTATCAGGATGTCCAAAAAACTCACTGAAAAGCCTTCAGCTAATCCAAAATGCTGCAGCAAGAGTGCTGACATGGACTAGAAAGAGAGAGCAGATTTCTCCTGTTAAATCCAGAATTGAATTCAGAATCCTGCTCCTCACATACAAGGTCTTAAATAATCAGGCCCCATCTTATCTTAATGACCTTGTAGTACCATATCACCCTATTAGAGCACTTCGCTCTCGCTCTGCAGGCCTACTTGTTGTTCCTAGAGTATTTAAAAGTAGAATGGGAGGGAGAGCCTTCAGTTTTCAGGCCCCTCTTCTGTGGAACCAGCTTCCAGTTTGGATTCAGGAGACAGACACTATCTCTACTTTTAAGATTAGGCTTAAAACTTTCCTTTTTGCTAAAGCATATAGTTAGGGCTGGACCAGGTGACCCTGAATCCTCCCTTAGTTATGCTGCAATAGACGTAGGCTGCCGGGGATTCCCATGATGCATTGAGTTTTTCCTTTCCAGTCACTCACTATGTATTAATAGACCTCTCTGCATTGAATCATATCTGTTATTAACCTCTGTCTCTCTTCCACAGCATGTCTTTATCCTGTCTTCCTTCTCTCACCCCAACCGGTCGCAGAAGATGGCCCCGCCCCTCCCTGAGCCTGGTTCTGCTGGAGGTTTCTTCCTGTTAAAAGGGAGTTTTTACTTCCCACTGTCGCCAAAGTGCTTGCTCATAGGGGGTCATATGGTTGTTGGGTTTTTCTCTGTATCTATGAAGCGCCTTGAGGCGACTTTTGTTGTGATTTGGCGCTATATAAATAAAATTGAATTGAATTATCTGAGGAAGAAGCAGAGTTGGTTTGTTTCCAGCTGAAATCATCCAGGCTCAGGAATTTGAATCGATCCACATCATTTCTGCTTGAACTAGAGAACATGAGTGTCGACTTACATTTGGTCTGTGAGACACATGTCATAGTGACAGTATTTGGGTTAATATGGCATTAATCACCCTGGTCGCATTTCTTCAATATCAGGCACAAAGTTCAGGAACTCGTTCTTTGCAGCCCGCGCAAGGTAGGAGGTCTCCAGAGTGGGAACCATCGGGAAGTTTTCACAGTCTGAGCAGGAGGGACTGGAGGCACGTGAGCTGTTCTCAGGGGTCCTTTAACACAAATCACACCAAGTTAGAATCAAATGGATAACCTGTCAATAACCGTTTGCAGATCGAGGTCAATGTTCCTAAAAATATGTTTACTTCTGGCCCATGGAGCCACAGCGGGAGTCCGAGAGAGGGGCAGGTAGAGGAAGGGGTGAGGGTGGCACTGCTGAAGCTCGTCACGGATGGATCACGTCCGATCGGTGAGATGAGAGAAAGCTGAAGTGAAACAACAGCAGGATGAGGTAGACGTCAATATAGGAACTCCCTGATGTGACACAGAAAGGCTATTTTTTAATTTCTTTGTATTATTTCTCACCTTGCAGTCACTGATGCTGTTCACCAGCTGGTTGTATTCAGTATTGAAGGTGTGTGTCAGAAGGCGCAGGCACTACAACACAACAGGAACAAGACCGAGCAGAGAAGGAAGAAGGCAGCAACAAGAACGCCCACTAAGCCCATGTTTTTCTCACCTTGGTGGCCAGCTCCTTCTCACGCTTTCAAAGGTGGTGCTGGAGATCTGCGAGGAGACGGAGGTGGATGTGGACAGAGTGCTGGAGCTCACGCTGGGGGACAGAGACTCACTCAGGGACTTGGTGGTGGGAGCTGTTCCCACGGGAGCCGCCACTCCCAGAAGGTGACGGGTCTTTTCCACCTGGAAGAAAGATGGGGGCTAATGTGAGGTAGGGAGAAGAGGGGACGTTAGTCATGTAAAGGCCATAGGTGAGGGTAGGGACGTAGATCGACCGGTAAATTGAGAGCTTCGCTTTTACACTCAGCTCCCTCTTCACCACGACGGACCGGTGCAGCGTCCGCATTACTGCAGCTGCAGCCCCAATCCGTCTGTCGATCTCCGGTTCCCTTCTCCCATCACTCGCGAACAAGACCCCGAGATACTTGAACTCCTCCACTTGGGGCAGGAACTCATCCCCGACTCATCCTATATTTCCGTTTTTATATTTCTAATGTTTGCCTTGTTTTCTTCACTGTCTGGTCTGCCTCTGTCTTGCCTGTATGGATGCATTTACACCGAAATGTCCCCAACAAAGGATGTTTTAATTCACCACTATTCCAGTGAAACACGAGTCTCCCATCTTCCTGCTACCAGTCTGGAGTTTTTGTTCACCAAAGCAGACACCAACTTCATACTGACGGACAGATCACTGCCCTTTTGCCGCCTTGTCTGACCGTGTTTTGTGGCTGTGGTTCACTTCACCTCACTCTTCCCCATTCTTGTCATTAAATCAGGCTGTTCTGCAACCATGGCAGCCATTCACTCTATGGCTTTATTCATGGTGTATTTTACCCCTTCACTAAAGGCCGTTCTCGTTTCCAACATTATATTTGCAGTGTTCGTCTATCTATCAATATCTGCGGAGTATTTTTTTTAACGAGTATCCTATTTTCTAAAGCACAGCATGTAAAGGGTAGCTCGGTTAGCAGGATGCTAGCATGTAGCGCTTAGTGAGACACGCCTCAGACGAGTTGAGCAAAGACCCCGTCTGTGTACTTTATACGTGAGCAACGGATTTAAATAAAATTAAGGTTTCAAAAGACAAACTTGAAGATAAAAAAATATATATATACTCACCGGAGAGCCGCCAGGGTTTGCCGCTGCCATCTTGGCGCTCCTAAATTCAAAACTGCCTCTGCAGTCAGGCAGGGGAGGCGTGGAAATTGTCTTTGAGTTAGTCAAACGTTTTCCTTAGTTCGAGTAGATGATAAAAAAAATAATAATAATAAATGGGATTTTAAGTAGGACTAGGCGTTCTGTAATGATCTCTATTTAGGAGAAAAACTTAATCACTCACCTTTAAACAGCTCTCTTTTAGGAGACACACTGCTGGCTAACGGTGTCATGTGATCAAACAGCGTAATTTAATTGGCTGAGAGCCACTCGACTCGATCTGGTGCTGATTGCTCTGGCTTGGGTCATTAAAGTTCATCACTTTTGCAGGTGAATTTTTGCAGGTGAATTTTTTTCAGGTGAATTTTTGCAGGTGAATTTTTTTCAGGTGAATTTTTTTCAGGTGAATTTTTGCAGGTGAATATTTTTGCAGGGAAATTTGGAGGATAAAAATTCAGTGTCATAAATTCAATGTCTAAAAATACTTGAATTCTGATGATACTATATTTCTTCCATATGACAGAGCCTTGAAAGAGTGACAGAGACACTTTTTATGAACTCATCTGTAATGTGTCACCTTTTCTGTAGAATGAAGAAGTGCTTCCCTTCTTTTAAAGTAAATACAGGCTTACAAAGATCCTCTAAACAAAAAATCCTCGCCTGCAGAGAGCAAAATCTCTTAAATAAATGGGGGTAAGCGTAAGCTGAAGCCATCTGATGTTTATGTTCATGAATATAACACACTGAAACATTTTGTCTTTGTTTTTATTGTTTATTAAAATACTTTTAAATGTCTAGTTTTAGTTTAAGAACCATCTAGTCCAGCAGGTGGCGGTAATGCACCTTAAAGCTCTAACCGCCAAAGAAAAACCCCAAAGAAGAAGAAGCCGCGAAGTTCCCGCTTCATTGCGTTTGTGTTTTAGTTTATTTTTCTTCCTCATCTAAAGTGAAGCACTAAGGTAACTTTGATCTGAGTTCAGTCAATCTTGAATTTAGCTCCTGAGTGAAGTTTTCTGTTGCTCTCCTCGGTCTCTGTTGTCAGTTATTTGTGAACCAGTTGAAAGAAAAAGCCTCTACATCAAGTCAAGCTGCTATAAACTAATTTACAAGAAAATATTAACAAATGCTAATGAAAC